CTACCTCAAGCACCCCGGGTTGCCTGGTTTCGGTTGAATTTGATCCATTTGCAGGTCTGTCTCCCCTGCTTGGCCTGGAGAGGCTCAAGGTCAGAGTTGTACCATCTGCCTTTGTAGCTTAGTATTTGGCCACCGGTGGGTGCCCAGTAAATGCTGGAGAGTTAGTGGCTACGGGACCATCGCCCCAGCCCTGCCTGCTATCCCCCTGCCTGGACATCCCTGGAGTAGAGTTACAGGTGCCATTTGCTGTCCGTTAGGTTGACAGCAGGTTATGTAAGAGAAAGAGGAAATAGAAGGGACTGCTCAGTATTCACAATGAATAATGCAGCCCACCCCAAGGGTCAAAATACTGTTTGGAGTCCAAATATAGGAAATGGGGTCTTCTCAGCCCGCCTTTACCTTACCTTATACCATCACGGGCATTACCCTCCCGTTTGTAGAAAATCCTGCACTTCAACACAGTTTGGTTTCTTCTTCTCCTTCTTTTCCTCCTCCTTCTTCCTACTCTTCTTCCTCCTCCTTCTCCCCTGTCCCTTCTCACTCCTCCCTCCCTAGTGGCTGTCTTCCTCACTCAGTGCTCTGGCAGCACACCTGGGGGGGGGGGCTCCTGGAGAAAGTGCTCAGTCCCCAGCCTCTGAGACTGTTTGGGCCTTTCATAAAAGTGTCTGACTTGGAAATGACAAATCTCGGGCTGAAGCTGGGCTGGTGCAGGTTTGGCACTTCTCTCCATGGTGGCAGAGGGTGGAGAGGTGGGGGTCCCTAGGAGTGGCTGCACAAGGGTGAAAATGCAGCAACAAGAGGGATGGAGCAGGGAGCCCTGGGGACAGAGAGACATGAGGAGCCACCCTGGAGTGGCCCAGGTAGCACACCTCTTTCTCTCACCTGGTTTGGATTCTTATATCAGTGTGTTTCTAAGAGCATTTGGTGAGTTTTCAGAAAAGAGAAGACGACTAGAGATATACTGAGGAAATGGGTTCCAGTATCAGTCCGATCCATTGTCCCCCAGGCCACCTCCCTCCTTTTGACATGTTTCCTTCATCTCCCCAGCATCCACCTTGTTCCTGGATGTCTCCCTCTGGGGGCATGGGGGCCCTCCAGTGCTTTGGGCTCCAGTCCTGAGGCATGGAAAAGCATCCCAGTCCATGACGCAACAGGGATGGACTTAGTGGAGGGGGCTGGGGAGAGCATTTGGTCCCTATCATCAGAGCCTGTACCTGAGGCCTAGATGCTCATGTCCGGGGTGACGAGTGGAGAACCTGTTCCAGCCCCTTCTGTCTCACCAGCAGGAAGGTGCATATCTGTTGTGGGGAAGTGTTCATTCTCCTGAGGCGGCCACAGCTGAGGACATATAGAGTTAAGGAGGTATATATTTGGGGCTTTAGTAACATCTAAGTAGTCCTTTGGGAGCCTTGAAGGCTATGCCCCCACCCTGTGACTTCTGCTTTTGACACTAGGGACAGCCATTACCCACCCCCCAAAACAAACAAACAAACTAACAAAAAGTTTGGTTTGTGCCAGGTACACATCTGTGCCTGGGGAACCCAGGCCAACAGATGAGGTAACCCAGATGGTCTCAGATACTGACCGTAGGCATACTGAGCAGAACAGAAAAGGTAGAGGTAGGCAAGATGGTCTTGGAGGAGAGCTGTGAGCCAGCTCTGGTGACCTTGAGGCCCTGGCTCTCACCCCAGTCCTGTCCTAGTGCTGTAGCTGCCACTACAGGTTCTAGGGCCAGGGTAGTACACTTGGGGCTAAGGAAAGCTTTGCAGGGGCGGGAGGGGCACTGGAGCTGAGCCAGGAGCCCGGACTGGATGGAAGTGGTGAAGATGGTGACCTCCACGTCATCTCAGGGGAGAGAAGGGCAGCCCAGTCCTTGGTGCTTTGGGCAGGACCTCGGGGACTGCAGAAGGGAAGCTGAAGACCAGAGACGAGCAGGGAACTCCCAGCAGGGCTGCCCCTCCGATAAGCCTGAGGACACTCCAGGGCTCCAGGAGTAGTGTGGACAGATGGTGCCCTGGAGAGCTTCCCCACTCTGTCCCCAGAGTTTCCCTTCATCTTGGGACACTGATTTTGAACCCTACTGTTGCCAGAACTGAACCCAGAGATATTTATTCAGGTTTCTTTAAAATAGCCAAGACAGGAGGTCATCCAGTCAAGATGGCAACATAGGTAAACATAGCTCACCTCCTTGCACAGCCACATCAGAATTACAGCTAAACTATAGAACAACCATCACTCAGAACTGTCCGAAATTGGGTTGAATGGAAGCCTGACAACTACAGAATTAAAGAAATCAAATCCATCCAGACTGATAAGAGTGGCGGAGATGTGGAACAGGTTGGTCCCACATCCATGTGTGGTGGGTAAAAATTCAGGAGGTGTATCCCGGGAGCTAGGAGTCCCAGCCCCACACCAGGCTCCCCAGCCCAGGGTTCCAGTGCCAGGAATATAAGTCCCTGTAACTTCTGGCTGCAAAACCCGGCAGGGATTGAGTCAGTGGAAGAAACTGTTGCAGTCCCCTTAAAGAACCCGTACATGGACTTAGACTCACTCTCTCTGAGTTCCAGCACTGAGGTCATAGTTTGAAAGGCACCAGTGGCATATGGGGAGGAACTGAAGTGTCTGGCATCAAGGCAGGAGCTGGAGGACAGCTTTCTCCCAGACAGAAAGGCAGGCAATTGTCCCTTTACTGAACCCTCCTCCCCACAGAGCCAAAGAGCCAGGAGGCTGGTGCCATATCTGAGACTCCATCAACCTGGTTAATGCTGTTTGCCCACCCTAGAGATCCTCTGAGACTCTGTTCCACCCAACTTACAAGACCGCCCAAACTGTTAACAGTGGCTTTTCCATTTGAATGGCTGGTCTTGTCTTATGCTTCACAACTTCCTGAATTCTCTCAAACAAGCAACAGCCTGCCTCAGTAGGCTCCCAGCCCTAGAACCTTGTGCTAAGTGGTCCCAGGCCTGGCACCAGAAGCAACCAGCCTCAATTCACAGCTTGGTTTGCCTGGGAATTGAGCAAGCCCAGCACAAGTAGCAGCCATCTCAGATTGCTTTATAGCTCATGTGATAGGGGGTGGGGGGAGCCAGGCAGAACACAGGTAGGGGCTGACCTTGGCCTGCATCACCCAGGAAACCCCAGAGCCTGCGCACCCATGGGCACCTGTAGACTATGTTGGAGCACTACCACCCTGCCCCTCCATGACTGATCCTCCATGGAGGGTGGAGGTTGGTGGTCAATGGTCAGAGCCAGTCCTTGTAGCTAACTGGCCTGGGTAAATCCCTCCCATAGACCTGCCAACAACAATCAAGCATCAACTACAACAGAAGGGTGAATTCTGCCCACATGAAGGGCACACCTTGAATACCTACCTTGGGTGATAAGGGAGGCTGTGCTGCTGGACCCTACAAAATGCCGAGTACATCAGGCCACGCTACCAAGATAGGGAGTCATAGCAGCTCTACTGAATACATAAAAACATGGGGAGGCTGCCAAAATGAGGAGACAAAGAAACATGGCCCAAATGAAAAAAGAGATCAAAACTCCAGAAAAAGAACTAAGCAAATTGGAGATAAGCAGTCTATCAGATGCAGAGTTCAAAACACTGGTTATAAGGATGCTAAAGGAACTGAGTGAGGACCTCAAAAGCATAAAAAAAGATCCAGTCAGAAATGGAAGATATACTAATTGAAATATAGAACAATTTATTGGGAAACAACAGGAGAGTGGATGAAGCTGAGAAATCAATGATTTGAAACATAAGGAAGCACAAACTAACCAATCAGATCAACAAGAGGAAATAAATCATAAGGAAAACTTCCCTAATTTGGTGAAGGAAATAGACATGCAAATCCAGGAAGCACAGAGTCCCAACCAAGACAGGTGTAAAGAGGAGCACACCAAGCTACATCATAATTAAAATGCCAAAGGTTAAAGATAAAAAGAGAATCTTAAAAACATCAAAAGAAAAGCAGGCAGTTACCTACAGGGGAGTTCCCAGAGGACTTCCAGCTGATTTCTCAAAAGAAACTTTGCAGGCTAGAAGGGACTGGCAAGAAATATTCAAAGTCATGAAAAGCAGAGACCTACAGCCAAGATTGCTCTACCCAGCAAGGCTGTCAGAATTGAAGGGCAGATAAAGAGCTTCCTAGACAAGAAAGAACTAAAGGAGTTCATCAAAACCATTATTATATGAAATGTTAAAGGGACTTGTTTAAGAAAAAGAAGAAGATCAAAACTATGAACAATAAAATGGCAATAAATATGTATCTATCAACAATTGAATCTAAAAAACAGACTCAACAAAGAAGAAGAACAGAGACAGAATCATGGATACAGAGAGGGTTTTGATGTCTGCCAGATGGGAGAGGGGTGAGGGGGAGTGGGTGAGGGGATCAAGAAGTAGAAATAGGTGGTTACAGGCAGCCATGGGGATGTAAGTACAGTAGAGGAAATGCAGTAGCCAAAGAACTTACACACATGACCCATGGACATGAACAAGGGTGGGAGTATTGCCTGAGGGAGTGGGGGGTGCTGGGTGGAGGGGAGCAAAGGGGGAAAAATTGGGACAACTGTTATAGCATAATCAAAATATAATTAAAAAGAAGAATAGCCAAGATAGGCTTGCATTTTCAAAGGAAGTTTATTAGTATTGAAAGGGACAAACTGGAGATCACAGAACATGCAGCTGCCCAATGTCTAAAGCAAGGCTTCTGCTCTCCCAGTTAATCAGCTCTGCCCGGGGTGGGACTGGGCCACTGTGCAGCCATCTGTCTGAGCTGAAGCTCCTACAGCCCCTGCCTACCTCCGTCAGACTCTTTCCTGCACTTGGGAGATGGCACCAGGGATGCATTGTCCGTAAGGCCAAGACTCATTCTTTCCCTGCCACCCACCTGGCTCCTGTGCAGCTGGTCGAGGCACCCTGTGCTGACAACAGTCCCGGAGTGACGTCCCTCCACGCCAGACTGCGTGCAGACCCCAGTCCCAGGAGGGGCCTTCCCTTAGTCCAGGGAAACGTCCAGTGAGCCCTCCGCTTGCAGCTTCCCTATGGTCTGTACCTTCCTGGAGGCCTTCTGGATGCAGCCGGGGGGCTGGTAGGAGTTCTCATCACTGTCTGGGCCCTGAGAGCCCTGGTTGAGGCCCAGCAGGGCCCGGCAGTGGCAGAGGAAGTTGGGGCTGGAGAAGCAGTAGAGTACGGGGTCCAGGACGCTGTTGAGGTAGGTGAAGGCCAGGGAGCTGTGGAAGAGCAGTGAGCAGATGTCCAGGGTAGGGCAGGCACGCAGGTGGAAGGCCACGAGGGACGCCACGCCAAAGACGATGCTGGGCAAGAAGCAGATGGTGTAGACGGCCACCACCGCGGCCAGCACACGCTCGGCCCTCCGAGGGCCAGCCTGCCCGCCCAGGCCGCGGCGCCGGATGGTCAGCACGATGCTCACCACGGCGAAGAGGATGAGCGCCAGCGGCAGGAAGAACTCCAGCAAGTACAGCGCATTGTGCCACTGGATTGTGGCCGAAGAGTGCATGCCCAGCTGGTAACTGAGGCAGGACTGGGTAGGGTAGGTGATCAGGAACACGTGCCCGTTGAGGAGCAAGATGCTCCCCCAGAGGCCTCCGGCCACCCAGGAGGCAGCCCGCACCGAGGCTCGGCTCAGCGCGTGGTGGGGCCACACCACCTTCAGGTAGCGGTTCAGCGCAATGGCCGTGAGGAAGACCACGCTGGCCGTGCGGTTGGTGGACAGCATGAAGAGGTTGACCTTGCAGGCGACGTCCCCGAAGTGCCAGGTCTCGTGGCGGCGGTAGTAGTCCACGCGGAGGGGCAGGTTGGCGATCAGGAGAAAGTCCGCGATGACCAGGCTGACCAGGAACACCACGTTGGGCGACCAGGGCCGCGTGTAGGCGCAGAAGATGAAGAAGGCCAAGCTGTTCCCCACCAGGCCCAGGACGAACTCCACACCCAGGACTGGCACCAGGAACGCAGACAGTTTTGGGGAGTAGGCTGGGAGGCAGGGGGCCGGTGACCCCAGTGCAGTGGGAAAGGCAGAGGGAGGGAAGGGAGAGGGAGTGAGGGAGGAAGGGAGAGTGGAGGGTGAGAGAGCAGGGAGGAGAGAGGAAGCGCTCCGGTTATGAAATTCCATGTGCTGCATGGGCCGTGGACCTGAAGGAAGTTGGCAGTCTTTCCGCCTTTATATGAGTGTTCAGGGATGAGTGCTGTCAGCTGGCTGCCGCAGTGACTCAGTATCCTGGGGTTTTTTCATCAGCATCCTCGAAGCCACTGAGAAACACCCAGTGTTCCTGTTTGCTAGCAAAGGGGAACCCTGCAGCCTTTCCTCCCGCCCTCCCCTACCCACACTAGGTGATGGCCCCTCCCCCAAGTCTCTGATCCCAGTCTGGAGGGGGGCCTCTGTGCTACCCGTGGCAGAGGAGGAAGCAGGGCCTAGCAGGACTGAGATGGAGGCCCAGAGGGACCCTTATGTAGGAGAGGGCCCTCCTGGGGTGAGGTGGTGCAGCTCGGAGTGGTCAGACATCTTGCTGAAGAAGGAAGGTGGTCCTGGCACCCCATAGCTCTCAGGATCACGCAGACCACCCTGGCCAACCGCCACCCTCCATCGTGAATACAGGCGGGGTAGCCGCCTCCCTACCCCCACCAACTCTAGCAGCAGGGCCTGGGGGGCCAACAGGATGCTGTTCTGGGAGAAGAAGGTGGGCAGTCCAGGATGCACCTGACTGTGCTTGTGGCCTGTGGGAACCAGCCTGTTGTGCTCTGCCGGCCGCTGTAGTGACTCCCAGACTCGTAGTGGCCCCAAAGTCTGTGATGGTCTCACGTCCATGGATACGATGAAGTACATTCCACAGGCAGAAGGCTCTCTTGCCAATTTCTACTGCCATGATCTGGGGACCTGGGGGCTTCTCCTCGGAATGGAACAATCCTGAGGAACCTGGAGGTTCCCTGTCCACTGTCTTCGCCCCTCCGCCTCCACCCAGCATTCACTGGAGACAGGGGAGCGGGAGGCCGGGGCTAGCTTTGGACCAGGTACAGGTCCTGCTCTCCCGCTGTGTGGTGTTCTCCTGGACCCATGGGGCCAGGCCTGAGGGCAGACGGGAGGGCCTGGGGCTCCTGATGACCTGGGACAGCACCAAGGGAGGCTGTGGTTCCAGAACCTGACATCCACCCTTGCCAGCTGAGTATGGTCAGCAGTGTATCATGTGCTGCCAGCTCTGCCTAGACCTCTGGGTTTCAAGGCCAGCGGCCACTGACTCCTCTCCCTCAGACACCCCTGCCCCAGGCTCCTGTCTGGCCACAGCTGAGGGCAGCCAGGCTGCAAGTACAGGGTGCAGGCTGGTGAGATCCCTGGCCTGAGCTTTGAATGCAGACAGGCCTCGGTTGGAAACAGAGCTGCCTGCTTTCCAAAACTCTGGTGAGCCTCATCTTTACAGTGGGGTGCTACCACCTGGCTGCGGAGTTTTGAGGATTAAATGAGATAATGTATGTAAAAACTTCTAGGGAGCTCCCTGGCACAGAACTAGCATTTCAGAAAAACAGATCTAATTTTTATTATTTTCTGTCTTGGATGAGGCACTAGGGACAAACTCGCTTTTCTCTTGGCCACCGGTACCCTTCCGGGGGCCTCCCTGGGACATTGCTGTGTTTTCTCAGCTTCCGCATGGAGCCAGCCACACATTGCTGCAGCCCCAGCACACACCAGGCCTCTGCCCTCACTGTGTTGGGCTACCTGCAAGTGTGGAGAGGCTGGAGGTGTTCTTTGCTTTCAGGAGGGGAGAGCCTTTAGGAGTAGAGAGGTGCGTGAAGGCCCCGACATCCTCCAGGGCCAGAAGCCTCTTCAGCAAAGTCAGGCTCTCCTCTGCTCTTCATTGGAGTGTATCAAAGCAGTGAGCTGCCGGGCCGGGATGGAGAAGGCAGACGACCCCAAGTTGTCCAGAGGAAACTGGCTCGAACCAGGGACCTGTTCTATCTAGATCCAGCTTCAGTTACCCCCACTTGCCCCTCATCGACTTCTCATTGAAGTCCCAGGATCTCCCAAGCAGATCTTACACTGCAGGTTTCATGTTTTGCTTCTACCCACTGCTGCTCCTGGGATGTCCAGCACCCCGATCCCAGACACTGCCCAGGAGCCCTCTGAGTGCATGGATGGGGCGCCTGCACACAGCAAGGGGAACATGGGGAGGCGCCAGACCCGCGCCCCGCGGCAACCTCCTCATGCAGTGTCGAGCCCTCCCAGGGCTCCTCGCAAGCTTCGTGCTTAACTTTGGGTGGAGGAGTCGGGGTTTTTGTGTACTCCTATGTTTTCTATTGATACCATTAGCAGAAATCACTCCTGCTATTGGGGGGAAAACCCAACAGATGCTATTTTTAAAAAATTATGTAAAAAGAATACATGGGAAAAAGGCAGAGTCGTCAGCTGTGCCCCCAGGACGACTGTGCCTGCGTGGGTCGGGCCACACGCACAGTGATGACAGCTCCTCTGCAGGCAGGGACACCCCTCATAGACCCTCCACACGTCCAGATGACGACACACAGTCACGGGAGCACACGGGACCAGCCATCGACCACAGCCTGTTTCCTTGCAGAACCACAGGCACTTGTCCACCAAGAGGCCTTTATTGAGGGGTCCTCTCAGTGGCAGACAAGTGCTGAACTGAGCCTGTGGGGACAGAGGGATGGAGAGGCCGTCCAGCCTCAGGGACAGACCACCTGGCAGAACCATTCAGGACAAAGGGCTGAAGGTTGTTAGAGGAGAAGGAGAGCAACTGGCCCCTCAGGAGCCTGGTGACAGCGGGCAGGAGGAGAATGGATGACGAAGCTGGGTTACTCAGCAGCAGGACACTTAAAAGCAGTGAGGGCTGGGAAAGTAGTAGTTCGACAGGGGTGGCGCGGTGGCACATCCTGTGACTGCTCTGGGCCCACAGCAAGGCAGTCACCCCAGGGGCTTCTTGCGGGCGGGATCCTGGGTCACAGCCAGGGCCACAGAGCCTTGCCCTCGCTCCCAGGCATACCTGTGGAGACACAGGCGGGCAGGGGTCAGGGAAAACCGGCCCTCAGGCTCCCAGGGAGAGGAGGGCAGGCCCACAGCCAAGGCACAGGCCTCCCAGCGACTCACTCCGTCCCGGCTGGCACCAGGAGGCTTTCATCAGGGGTCAGGCTCAGGCGCTGTCCCCCCACGGTCACCATGGAGGAGCCCTCCTGGAGGAGAGGAGCAGGAGAATTGAATGGAGGCTATCAGGCCTCAGCGGCTGTCCGAGAGTCCAGAGTCTGCCTTGGCAAGGAGGCCGTGGGAGCCTTTCTGGACCATGGGAACGCAAGGCCCAGGGGCAGCCTGGTCCCCAAGGGCAAGAGTTTGTGCCACCCTCTCCTCCAGATCCCACTTGCCAGTTGCCACAGCCACAGGTCCACATCCTGTCTTGGGCCTTTGCTGCTGCCTTGTCCATAGATGATCACCTGGTAGGAAGTGACACAGTTCTTTTTGGTGCTTCCTGCCTCCAAAAGGAGATGGCCTTAAACCTGGCCCCCCTACCCCTGACACCAGACCTGGGTGGGACAGGGGCGGGGCCTGCAACAGAGCCATGGATCCCATTCCCTGGGGAGAAGGCTGCCTGGGTTGCAGGCCGCCCTGCTGCCTCCATCGCGATGGGCGCTGCCCACCTGCCCTTTCTTGATCACGCATGCCTGCCCTCCATGTATGCACACACATCTGGTCCCTCTGTAGCACGTCACGACTATTGCTGACCCACAGGAGGGGCACACTAGGGGCACTCCCACATGTGCATGGCATAGTACAGACTCCTGTAGCACATGCACACAGTTCCCCAAAGTGTGCCCACCTCCCTGACTCTGTGAAATTCTGGCCTAAGGAGCAGGAGGGACACGGGACAGGGTAAACTGGAACGAGAGGCCTGGAAGCCTGCAGCAATTGTGCAGGTCACGTGTCTAGCAATTAATCATGCCTCTGCCCCCCTTCCCTGACCTGGCTTTTGCCAACCTTAGCTACTTTGCAAGGCCAGCTTCTTTCAAGTTTCCAGGGCTTTGCTCATGCATCTCCCTTCCCCAGAATGCTCTCACTATCTCCCTCTCTTCCTTTTGCAAATGCCTACATTCACTTTAAAATGTAGCGTACATATCTCTTCCTCCAGGAAGTCTTCCCTGACTTCCCTCCCAGTGTAGGTTCCGCCTTTATCCTCCTGTGGCTTCCTAAAGCTTCTCTACCAAATAATCTATCCTGATTGTGGTGATAGTTGATTAACTTGCCCATTTACCAGACCATATACTCTTTGAGGCAGTGATTCTATCTTACTTTCTCTGAAACACAGTAGACACATGATAAGTGTTGAATGAAAGAAGGCCAGCTTTGTTTGGGTCTCTCTCTGTGTACCTTTCCACCCAACCCTCACTCCCAAACACTTTTCTCCCGTCCAGCTCCCAAGGCTGTGACTGGTCAAAGGCCCAGGGGTTCCTAGCAGGGGGATAACCCCAGGCCCTAGAAACCTATCATTGGATGGGACAACCCCTTACTCTGAAGGCAAAGAAAGATCACTGAGCACAGCTCATCGCAAAGCCTTCGTTTCTGAGTCAGTGAAGAAAGAGGAAGACCTACGCCCATGCCTACAGCCTCCGAAATGTGTGTGTGTATAGTTTCCATTTCCCAGGATTGCTGGGTAGACACCCTGGGTGGCCCAGGGCTGCATTACCTGGGTCTCATAGGTGTCCCCAAAGAGGCTGAGGGGTGTGCCCCCCTGTAGCTCCCTGCGGTGGCTATCCAACCAGGCTTCCAGGGACATGGGCTCCATGACGGATCGTGTGCTCAGGGGGAACGGCGTTTCCTTGAGCAGCTGGTCTGGACCCGTGGCCAAGCTGTGGTCAGTGTGCTCTGGCCCAGCCCTCCCAGCCCCAGCAGACCCAGTTCCCAGGCGCCCCAGCTCTTCACTGCAAGAATGGGCTCTGGATCAAGCCCAAAGACCCAGCAGCCATATAGGGGGTGCCATCTGCCCATACCTTCAGTACTGGGCAGAGTACTCAAAAAGGGGCTCCCTAGTACCCTGGGCCGAGACCCATCTTACTCTGGGAAGGGAGGGAGGAAAGGAGGGGAAAAGGCAGTTCCAGTGGCCTCACCAGGGTTGGGTTTTCCTGTTCTGTGCTGCTCAGAGCTGAAGAACCTGCAGAGACATACGGGGAAGGGGAGGAGGGGCCAGTGTTCCTGACTGAGACATCAGTTAGACAGACACACATACACTCTCAGATGTAGGAGCCCACACATACTCATGGGGCCCTCATATGACTCATATCTGCCCTCTGCTTGCTCCCAGCCCCATGGAGCAGCCCCTTCCCTCCCCAAGGGGGTCTCCAGCCTGGGTCTCCCACTCTTGGAGAGGTAAACTTTCTCCCTAAATCCCAGCGGTGACGGCTCTCGGCTGGCGGGTGCTGCGTGGAGCACTTCTCAGATGTCTGCTGTCCCCAGCCCGAGCATGAGGCCTCAGGGAAATGAGGGACCAGGGCTGGGATGGGCCTCACTCCTGGATGATGGGGGCCAGCTGTGTGCCGAGGTCCTCGCAGTAGAACCACTTCTCAAACAGGACGTCCGTGGTGTCTCCGATGTAGTACCTGCCAGAGCAAAGGATGGGTAACCAGTTCTCCATCTGGGTGCCTCAGGGAAGCCTCCTCTGGCCCAGCTGTCGGTTGATCTCTGGGCCTGGCCGCAGGCCCCGCAGAGCTGGCTGCCTGTTTCGCCCTGTTAGTGCATCCCAGTGGCCACACCTGGCTCTCCCAGAAGCAATGTGCATCCCCAAAGTGAGAGTGCTGCTATCCACCCCCTTTGCGTTGCTCTTCCTGGTCCCTGAAAGTTGACGATTTTCAAAGTGGATAGAACACTGAGGCTCAAAGAAGGTGGGCAGTCTGGCAGGGATTACAACCCATAAGTGGCATAAGCAGGATAGATTAGAGACAGCCTTACAAGCTTAGAGAGCATCATGACAAGTATCTTCACTTCTCCAAAATGGAAGCTGAGGCTGAGCCTGAATCCAGGGCCTGTGGCTGGATGCTCCGTCTGCCTGCTGGGGCCCGAGGTCAGAGCACATGGAACCCTAAGGAACCAACCAGTGGAAAATGCCCCCCAGGTGAGAGAGCCTTCTTTCAGGGTCACGGATGCTGTTGAGGACTGGAGTGAAGCGCTGGGCCTCTCCTCCGGAGGGAGGTCCGTATGCATGTACACGTAGCCTCTAATGGACTCCCGGAAGCCTGCCCGAGCGCCCAGCCTGGCTTGGAGCGCTGGGCTGAGGAGCACCTGGCAGACCGGGGCTGTCTCTCAGGCGCCTGTAGCTGCCGCACAGCTGCTGACTGAATGCCTAAGGCCCAGGGCCAGGCCCTCTCTGCCTGCCCTTCAACTGCTCCCCATAAAGAGAAGTGGTGCTGCTCACAGACACAGGGCGTCTTCCCCACCTGGCCCCCTAAGCTCTACCCCGGGAGCTGGCCACCACAAGGCTTCATAACTGGACCGTGATGTCCTCCAGAAATTGCCTTCGGAGTGGAATTTTAATGTTGAGTCCCTGGCTTTTATTAAAGGTCAAAGCAGCCAGATGAAATCCGTTATTGAATTTGCTATAAAAATGTTATTGAGGAAACCGTCCTCTCCATCACTAAAGATTCCCTAGATAAAGCCCCATGGGAAAGGTTTCTTTTAGAGTTTAAGGCCAGGCATCTGCTTTTACAACAGACTATTATGCAGCAGATTAGTACACAGTCATTAACGTGGTGCTTTTAAAAAAGAATTTAATAGTATAAGGAATACTCATGAGTTTTTCCATGTAAAAAAAAGCAGAACGCAAACCCAGGCTTGAATTAGGACTGCAACGTTGGAAGGTGCAAATATACATAGGAAAAAAGACAATATGGAGGTTTAAGCGCTTTGTTAGGTTTAGTTGGTGGGATGACAATTTTTTTTGTGTTTTCTCTTTATTATTTTTTGTGGGTTTTGTTTGTTTGTTTTTTTGAGATAGCATTCACATACCCTAACATTCACCCTTTCCTGACAGGTAATTTTAATTTTGTTCATATTTTGTTGTACTCCTCCAGATTTCAAGAATGAACGTGTATGACTTTGGTAATTAGAAAATAGGGAAGCATTAAAAAAAATGTTCATTATAACAGATGTCAGTAACTTGTTGGGAACTTCTAATTTTCTTAGTTAACACATACAAAAAGTAATTTAGCTTTTGTAAAAACCTGTGTTCCCTTGAGCCACAGGCTGTGCCTTCCTTTCAGAAGATAATAGTTGAGTGACTGATGGGAACCAAACCGGAACTCAGCTCTGGGAACAGGGTGCCCCTCTAGGCGCCGCGCCCTCCCCCCCCCCCCCCCGCACCCTCCCTCCAACCCGCCGCGGGGCACGCGCTGACTCCCGCCCCCACCCCGGCCGTCCTGACCCTTCCCTTGTATTTCTCTAGCATGCCCGCTTGGCCATTTTCTGGCAAACTCAACTCCCCTGTGTCCAGTTTCTTCGCCTGTAAAGTACAGATGACAATGGTACCTGCCTCACAGGATCATTGTGAAGATTAAGTCAATAAAAATACACATAAAGCGCTTAGGCTGGTGCCTGGCCCATAGGAGTGTGATGCAAATGTTAGCGCTGGCTGTGGAATGAGTCGAGGCAGAGAAAGCCGCAGAGGAGTGCGCTGGTGGAGGGCGAATGAACTCCGGGGCCGAGGCTGGAGGAGCGGCGGCGGTGTTCGGGCTGTCCTGGGCCAGCCGGGTCTGTCTTTGGCGACCCCCTTCCCACCCTTCCACCCTGTCCCTCTACCCCGGCCAGCGGACCTCAGTGCAGAGAGCACAGGCTCTCGTCCCAGCCAGAGGCCTGCAGGCTGAATGGGCAACCAGGAGGGCACATAGAACGTCCTGCCACCTCCGCCATAAGCCCACTCCACCACCTACCCTAACCTCTCCCCATCAGCCGACAAATACAGGATCCCCGTTGCCACCCCATTCTTGCTCAATGGTTGGGAAGTGCTGTCTTGGGTCTATCTCGGATACTTCCCTCTGCTGCTTGCCTACCCCTTCCACCCCATCCCCCGCCCCTGTCTCGGCCCGGACTCCCACTTACCGGAGCCCATCTAGCTCGGTTTTCAGCCGCCTCCGCTCAATCACCAGCCCCACGGTGTTGGCAAACCTCTGCGGAGAGTGGGGGATCCCAGCGGGCAGGAGGAATATCTGCGGAGGCGGGGACAAGGTGTCAGCAAGGCCGCGACGCCCCACAGAGACCTCGGCGCCTGTAGCGCCCTGGCCTCCCAGCGGACCCCCAGGGTCCAGCCCAGCCCCCCTCGATGCCCGGACTCTGTCTGTCAGGAGACGGAGAAAATGTCAGGCTGTGCTGCGGTTGGGGCAGCCCAGAGGAGGAAGTACCCGAGGATGGCGTCGGGGCAGGTCGGGTGGGCAGGAGGGCAGAAAAAGGCGGGAGGACAAGATCTTGACCAAAGCTGGTCCTGGTGGACTCGGTATGTTCCTGTTCTGGTGGCCCTTCGCCTCCCACCGCCTGGGGCCCACCTCACCTCTCCCTGCCGAATGACCACATCCCGGTGTTTCCCTCGCTCCAGGACTTGGAGAACCATGTCGCCCTCCAGCTGGTAAAACACCTGTGGGGCCGTAGAGCAGACAGCTCAGACCCTCCTCACTCCTCCGAGGTCCTTGGCCTGATTGCTGACTGGGAAACCTGAGAAAGTTCCTGAAGGCCTTGGCGTTTCTCAGCAGCTCTGTCAATCCTGCCCTGAGGCCCCAGTCTCCCCTGACATGTGCCACAGACAGAAGTGCTAGTGACACACAAGGATCATGTCTTGACATGCACGTATGACCAAAGTACCCAGGACACAACAGTTGGTGTGTGGCTTGGGAGCAGGAGGCTGTGCCTGTCCAAATCCCTCAGCAGGCCAGCCGGGTGAAGATGGACTCCGTGCTGGAAGCTGGGTTGGGTGGGTGGTGCGGGACGGGAGTGCTCACCTCCTGCGAGCCCCCTGGGGTGGGGCAGGGGCTCCTACTGCGTTTTCTCTATTCCATCCTAAGTCCCTAGTTAATGTGTTTACTGAGGTCACCCCATGGAGCTGAGAGGAGGAAGCAGACACATTTTCTCTCTACCAGTCACGCATTGCAGGGGTGTTGAAGGCCCCAGCCTAATAGTTGAAGGGGTGTTATTAACAATAATTATTACTATCATGTAAGGAGTTAGAGGTGATGGAGGTTCTTGTCTCAGCATCTTCTAAGAGCAATCAAGCTGAGCTCAGGGAAATGTGGCTCTACAGTCTGCCATGGGGGGGGGCGGCATGCTGACACACCCCCTCTGGAGGGCATTTGGCAGCTTACAGCCTCGCAGGGTGGCCAGAGGGGCTTTGGATGTAGGACCATCAGTGCTGGCACCGGCAAAGTCCAGGACAAGCCAGGACAGTGGCCACCTCACTCTCTTGAGCTAGTGATTCCCTCTCCAGGGACGTGCTGCAGTGAATCAGAAATGCGCCTCGCTCACATTGTACATACAAGGCTGTGCTGTCACAGTGCGTGGCGGCTGAAAGCACAGACTCCAGCGCCGCCTTGCCCTCAGCTCAGCCAGGTCACTGTGTGCCCTGGATCAGTTCAGCCAGCCTTTCCGTGCCTCTGTTTCCTTATCTATAAAATGACAGTATCTACTCAGAAAGTTTCTATGAAGTCTGCCTGGGATGCCGCTCACACTGTATCTGCCACAGTCAGTGATGGCGGGAATAAGAAAGTGGTGCTAATAGTAATAATAGCAGAAATGCCGCTATTTTAGGATAGAGTCAAAAATATGGAACATTATGCAACCATTAAAGACTATTTTTGAAAAACTGCTAATCAGGTGGGAAAATGGAAAATGCTAAAGTTATCACTATCATGTTAAAGGAAGATTCAAAATCACACCCAGCAGGATTCCAATTATGTAACCATGCATGTGTGAACGCAAGTCGCGTCCACAGCGGTGGGATTCCCTGAGTGGTGGGACTACAAATGAGGTGTACACTACACACTTGTTTTTCTATATTTCACATTTTTTTTTACAATAAACACTATTTAATTTTATTATTAAAAAATAATCCATGCAAGTCATTTAAATCAAAAAATTTTTTAAAGAAAAAACCTCCCAGGCTCTCTTAGGGAGAAATTCCAGCCGGGAGGAAGCACCTGTGGGGATGGGGGTGGGGTGGGGTTCTTTCAAGGTAGCGGGGGAGGACGAACCCAGAGAGCCTAGGGAGAGGCCACAGCCCTGCGAATATCGGGGAAAGCTGGGCTGGGCTAGGGGCCTGGAGTGACACCCCGGCCAGATTCCGACCCTGTGCGGGCGAGTGAAGGTGTTAGCAGCCACCCAACAAAACCGGAGCAGCGGAGTGGAATTTTTCTCAGCCTTGTCTCTCTGCCCAGAAGCCTTCCCTGTGATGAGGGCAGGCCTGGCCGGGAGCGGAGGTGCAGATCCGGAACAGCAGAAAATCCCAGCCTTGGGCAATCCAAAAGGAATTCTGCTCATTTTGGAAGTAAATGATGTTTGGGACCTATTGCTGGCTAGAAGATTAACTGTCCCTGTGGGCAGATATTAAATTGAATCAGAGCTCTGGTGCCTGGAAAGGCCTTACAGGCAGAACAGGCGGGAGAGGGGCTGGGAGTGCAGAGAACTGATGCATATTAAGTCCTTATGGTGCCCCAGGCTCTATGTACAAACTCTACATGTACAAATTGAATCCCTCCACCACACAGGAGCGATGTCCGCATGTGCCGTAAGGAAACGGAGAGGAGACACGATGTGACCTGTCCAAGATCACATGGATAGGGAGAGACAGACTCCCACCCAGGCTGGCACTTTCCCAGCCCGGGCCCCCTCACACCTGTGTCCTGAGGGGGAGCAGGGGTAAGTGGAGTGTATGTGGTGGTGAGCCGAGCACCTGAAGGGCTGCTGCTGAGGCCAGAGGGCAGCACGGGGGAAATTTTGGCTCAGAGACTCCCCTTCCCTCACCAGGAAGGAGTCTGGACCCTGGGGCTGGGGCGGCTCCTGCAGCACAGCCTGGAGTCTCCACAGGCTCCCGCTGGGTGAGGACAGGAGGGACCGAGAGGGTGATGACTCTCCCAGGGCCTTTGCCTGGACCTCTCCGCTGCCGCAGGTTGGGACCAAGCCTTCGCAAAGCCACCTCTAGCCAAATGCTCCCAGGCCACCTGAATACCCTCCAGAATGGGGACACCTGCTCGGCCAGGCCTCCTCATCTGTCAGCCACCCAGCTAAGTCAGGGCCTGGCCTGGGTCCTTAAGTGGCCACCCATCCACCAGAGCAGCTTGCAGAGACACCGAGGTGGGGGGTGGCGAAGAGGTGGTAGGGGGCAAGAAGGGAAGGAGACGGAGAGGGGGGCACTGAGACCAGGGCTTACAGAGTGGGAGCCTCTGGAAGACAAGATGGGGGTGTCTGAGGCTGCCTGAGACGGGCAGGAGGGACCCGGCAACAGGCCTTGTCTCCTCCATTGTGGCCACTCCCAACCCAATCCTGTCTTCTCTCTGCAGTTATGGATTTCCCTGCCTGTTTTTTCTACAAAGGAAAGTGGTCTCCAGGGAAGTGCGGCGTAAGAGGGGGTGGCTGGGGGTGGGGTGGGGTGTGGACCCTTGACGTGTGAGGGATGAGGGGTTGCCAGCTCTGCTCCGTGGAGGCTGCTGCTCCCTGCTGGCCACGGATCCGCGCCCCCCGCTGGCCCCCACAATATTTACGGAGTAGGTGCTCCGTAAATATTTGTGAAGCAAGTGGATTCTCCAGTCCCCAGCTGTGGCCGAGCTGCCATCAGTGGGAGTGAAGGCTGGTGACTAAGCTGGACTCTAGACTCAAACCTCAGGGCCAGGCCCTCAGGATGAGAGCCAGGGGTCCCATACTGATCCTTTGCCACCAGATTCTGATAGCTGGGGACCTACTGGTGTCGCTTCTTAATAGGGCCCATCTTTTTTTCTTAAGTTGACTCTTGGTTACTTACTTTGGGGTGGGTAGCACAGAAACACAGACCAAAATTCAAAGTCCTAAAGGGTGTTGAGTGCAAATTGCAAATACTCCCCTCTCCCCTCCCCCACCCCCAGTAGCTACTAGCAGCTGATGTGTCTTGTGCCCTCTAGATAAGGAGGGGCCTCCCACCCCCAGCCCTTCCCAGAGACCTTGGCTCCTGACACTGAAGTGTAGCCTCCGAGTCCTTCTGAGTTTGGGCCTCACTTCGGAGGCCAATCTTGCACGTTCAGGTTTGGAGGGAGTGGACCAGGGCCTCCCACCTGGAGCAAGGGCAGCCTCTGCGCCCTCTCCTGCTCGCGGAGGTTGGGCTCTTTCTGAGGATGGAGCTGTCAAAGGTGCCACTGGGCACCCACACCACCCAGACAGCAGTACTGTCCCCCGATTTCAGTTGAGGCCCCTTCACCCCTCAGCCATGTCTCCTGTCCACAGGCTCTGGTCCTGGCTTGGGGAGTGTCCCCTTGCCCCAGGGCCGCATCAGGGGAGGGGCAGTCCACATGCCTACCTCCTCACCCTCCTCGATGTGGTAGTCCTTCCTGATGTTGGGGCCCCCGATGAACATGACTTTGAGCTGCTCCTGATGCCTGCAATGGAGGACAGGTGAGAGGTGCCGAACCAGCTCATGGGAGAAAACAGGAGGGGCCAGGAGGGAGCCTGGGCACACCTGGCAGAGGTAACAGGGCTGTTTCTGCATCATTGCCCCTGTCAGTTCTTGAGGTTTGTCCCCCTCTACTCCCACCCCAGAGTGCCCGTACGTATCCAAGGGTCTGCGTGTGTCTGAGACCGTACATATGCCTGTGTCTTTCCGTATCTGTGTCTTGGTATATGCATGTGTATGTTTGTCTAGCTCCTCTGTGTGTATCGCCCACATCCTCTGACCGAGTAGGGGGTGGATCTCTCTCTCTTCATCAGTCAGGGTCCTTGGGCCGTACTCAAGATCTCAAACACAGGAAAGCAGGCTGGAGGCCCCACTTCCAGGAGGGATAAAATGAACTTGATCTGCCTCCTGCCCCTCAGAGCTGTCTGACTATGAGACTCTATTCCCCCCAAACCGCTGGGTTATAGCTGGGATGCACCTGCTTTAAGTGGAGGGGGAACTAGTGCAGAGGCCCTGAGACAAGAAGCACAGGGGGTCCTGGTGGTGTGGGAGTGTCCTTGGGGAGCAATGGAGAAAAGGCTGCGTCAGGGTGGGGGACCAAGCCACCCCAGGCCTCGAGAACCCAGCCAAGGAGTTCGGTCTTGGCCTGAGGGGTCTAGGCCAAGAGAGCCTAGGAAGTTTTTTTCTTTTTTTGTGATCTTTACTGAGATCTAATCTGTCCCAGCGATTTTCAACCTTTTTCACCTCATACACGTAAACTAATTACTAAAATTCTGCAGTGCACCAAAAATACGTTATATTTTTTGCTGATGTGACAGAAAAATAGGTATAATTTTGATTCATTCACACTGCATGGCTATTGTGTTGCTTGTCATTTTTGTTTTATTTGACAACCTAAGGCAAAAGAGGTCAGTGATCCGGAAATAGTCAGGTGTTGCATGTTTTAACAATTCTTGCAACATACCAGTTGAAAATCGCTGATCTAGGTACATGTGGAAAGTTCCTGAATAAGTCCACTGAAGAACTATTTGAACCCACCGATCAGAGTGCATAAGCCAGATCATGACCTTCTCCTGCTCAAAACCTTCCAGCAGCTTCATATGCACCCCCCACCCCAAATTCATAGTTGGATTCCTAAGCCCCAGGACCTCAGAACGTGACCTAATTTGGAAACACGGTCATTGCCGACATACTTAGTTAAGCTATGATGAAGTTAGACTGGGGTAGGATGGACATCTAATCCAATGTGACTGGTGTTCTTATAAAAAGGGAAATACAGACACAGACACACAGGAGAGCCCCATGTGAAGATGAGGCAGACGTGGGGGTGATACAGCAGAAGCCAAGGAACGCAGAGATCACCGCTAACCCACCAGGAGCGCGAAGAGGCCTGGGGCAGAGTCTCCCTCGCAGCCCTCGCCAACACAGGGACCGAAGCCACAGCCCTACCCTGTCCTGTGCCCCACAGGTCTGCCTGGGCCTCCACCCCCTGTCTGTTTATATTTATTGGCTGCCTCTACCCACTGGAATGTCAGTTCCCCAAGGAGGGGGCTTCTGTCTATTGGTTTCCTGCTATATCTCTAGTGCCAGGAACAGTGCCTGGCACGCAGCAGGAGCTCAGCGAACATCTGCTCAGTGACTGAAGGGAGGGCCCGCATTTTGTGATTACTAATATTGGGAAAGCGCTGGAGGGCTGGGTGGGTGGACCTGGAGGCGGGGCAGCTCCCACTCTCCCAGCTGGCGGTTAAAAGGGTGGAACCAGAGCAGTGCCCATGGCGCTGCAGAGGAGTAAGTGGATATGAGACACCATTAGGAGAAACTAGAGGACTGAGAAGGAGACCGTAGACAGGGATGAGGTGGGGAGAGAGGCTAGGGCTTTGGGGATATGCGGCCTGCTGGAGCTGGCCGTGCTGCACAGTGACCGAGAGTGTGGACTTTAAAGTCAAACTCTTCCTTGGACTTGAGTGAGGACCTTGTCCCACACTAACTTTGTAACATTGGGAAAGTTACTTATTAAAATCCCACCTCCTGGGGCTACTGTGAGAATTCAATGAGATGATGCAAAAGCACTTGGCACAGTCTCTGGCTTGTCAAAATATGAGTGGTTGTAAGTGTGTTCTTCAAGGTACCACCCTGTTGGAGATGTTCTGTGGACACGACTAACGTGGGACTGTGAGCCTGGAGCAGGGAGCCCAGGGAAGGGCCGGGAGGTGACAGGGAGGGCCTGAGAGGTCTGCTGGAGAAAGGCTGGCCGGTCAGCCAGGCCTGGGGGGAGGGAGCCAGAGGGGGGGAGGGGGAGGGAGAGAGAGAATTCTTGCCCGCAAATGTGAGCATATGTGCCTGCCAACAAAGAAGGGAAGGAGGAAAAGCAATAAATCACAATAAACCTGTGGTTTCCCGGACAGAGTTGGGGTGCATGATTGGGCTGTCCGCAGACCTGGGTTCTACTGCAGTTCCCGGGCCACCCTTCTCAGAGTCCCTGGGCGTTGGAGAGCTGTTTCTCAGCCATGGGGGCGGAAGGGCCGCCACCTGCCATCTGTGTCTCTCCTAGCCTCAGTTCACCCAGCCGTCCTCAGAAGTCAAGGTCACAATCTCCACACCCCAGTTGTCAGAAAGAGGAACAGAACAAGGGTGGTGGCACCCGGAAAAGCCCTCCCTCCTGCCCTGAAGACACCGTGAGGATGATGGCCCCCTGTATGCCGCCTTCTGGGTCATGGAACTCAGAGCTGGAGGGAGAGGGCGGAAGGGTGCAGAGGCAGAAGAGGAGGTGAGGACAGAGGGCAGGAGGAGGGAGGCTGCCTGGGACTCACAGGAGCTTGTTGCAGACAGGGGGCAGGAAGGAGGCCCGGTTCTCCGCCACCCAAGTCCTCACTCTCACAGGACGCTCCATGGCCATCCGGGGAGCTGTGCTCCCAGCCCTGTCCTGGGGCCGCTGGAGAGGCGCGGTTCCGCCCACTCGTCTATGGGCTGCCTTGTTAATCAGCATCCCGAGGGGTCAAAGTGCGGGGCAATCCCCTGGACACCACGGTAGCCGTGGTTGGGCATCAGCGCGGTGGCCCTTGTCAGCCGTTGATCAGAGAGCCCTGGTACCGCCGCCCCTCTCCCGCCCGAGTATCCGGCCAGGCACTGGCTTGGCCCCGCCGCACATCTCGGGGGCGGCGCCCCTCACATCTGCTTGGGGATTGGGAGACTGAGATTGGCGTAAGACACAGGATTGAGAACCCTCCTGGTCCTTTGTCCTCAGACTGCGCCTGGGCCCCGGGAGGGCTCCAAAGAAATACTCCGCCCGCCCCGCCCCGCAAGCAGGCGGCTTGGAAACCTGAGCATCTAAGTCCAAGAGCGCTGGCACTGGACTGAAGCCTGTTTCCTAATCTGAAAAATGGGAATGTCTCCGCAGCCACCCAGGGCTGCAAAGAGGCTGCCACAGGCCCCGGTTCGTGTCATCCGCTATCTTGTCGCGAGCAGTCCCCAGGTTTACTGAGAGCCGCCGGCAGCCCTGCCTTTGGCTGGGAGAAGGCAGCGGTTCCGCATGGACGCGGGCGCACTGCTGCGGGGTCCCTGGAGCACGACAAGTACCCTCCGGGGCAGGCTGGAGGGCACGGTCCCCTCGCTTACATTCGCCAGAGGAGGCAGACGCGGATAGGGTGCCTGGCGCTGTTCTGAGCTCCTTCCATGTCTTACGGACAAAGGTCCCACGACAATTCAATGAGTTTTACGGATGACGACCCCGGCCCTCGGTGTCCTAGCCGTCGGGAATCTCAGGGTCCGGGGCTGCGGGGAGCGGACAAACCTGTGCTAAGGGTACAGCCCGTGTGAGGGGCGCTCACTCAGTTACCCAGGGGTCAGGAGGGACCTGGCAGCTGGTGTGGGGGTGTGAAGAAGAAACGGGGTCGGGGTAGGGGAGTGTGCAGAGGAGAGGGGAAGACAACCGACACCTGCTTGCTTCTTTTTCTCCTAATTCCTGATTCTTAGGAAAATTGCGCCTGTGTTGGAGAAGGGTGGAGTGGGGAGCTGGTAGGTGGGGGAGGAGGGAAAAGCTCAGGCTCGGACACCAGAATCCAAACTATGGAGTTCAAGAAATTCCAAACTCTACCAGCGCCAGCCCACCGCCCGCAGATCTGGCCCATCTTGCCCCTCCCTGCTGCATGGTGTGGGCGGGCCGACGGGCTCAGGCCCCTCAGACACGGAGCTCTCCCGCGCAGATCAAAACCCAGGCAGGAAACAAGGTTCCCACACACTTCTGCTGGGGCAGAACCCGCCTCCCTCCCGTTCCTCACCACGCCTCACCCCGCCTTCCCCCACCTTTCTCTTTTTAGTTATTTATTGAGAACTTTTTTTAGCTGAGCATTTCTTTTTAGAATATTGTTTGGCACCAAAATAACTCAAACCATATTTTTAATCTTTCTCATCTATAACTAATCAGTGAGATGCAAACAGTGACACATGAGACAGCAAGGGTCTAGGATATATTTGTTAGGTTTGGATATTCGTTAAATGGATTGGGGGAGTGGATAAAAGCGTGAACGAATTCACACTAAAAGGAAAAATAAATGATTTCAGACCAACAGATGTCCTGTTACATAGTACAAAGGAAAGAGTGATACTTGCTCTGTATTTTAATCTACCTAGTCAAATAAGGTGAATCATTTGGGGTCTGAATTATCCAGATGAATCCTAAACACAAGCTAAATAATTTGCTGTATAGTAACTGTCAAATCTGCCCCTTAGTTTGCACTGTGTGAATAAAGCACTATGTCTGTTCAATTGGCAGTCTCCTAACTTGGGTTTGGTGCACTGTTTGACTGCATTCTGGGAACGTTCTTCAGCCTAACCTTTCAGCTCACCCTTCCTTCCTTCCTTCCTTCCTTCCTTCCTTCCTTCCTTCCTTCCTTCCTTCCTTCCTTCCTTCCTTCCTTCCAAATTGAGTTAATATAATCAGATTCATCTCATCTACTGATTTTTAAATTTTAATTCATACTTTTAATCCTCACTCAAGGACATGTGGGGTTTTTTTTTTTTCAAATTTTTATTTATTGATTTTAGAGAGAGGAAGGGAGAGAGATTCTTGTGTGTGCCCTGACCAAGGATTGAACCCACAACCTTGGTGTATTGGCACAATTCTCTAACCAACTAAGTGACCCATCCAGGGCCATGTGCCCCCCTCCCTACTGCCCCCACCCCTCAAACCCCAACATCCTGTGGCCTCCTCTTCATTCTTCCTGGCATGGATCCCTCATGCCTTGAATGTGTGTGGATATACTTTTTCATAAGTGGGCTTTTATGTTTTAAGTGCAGACGATGGCTGAGTCTGGCATTTCTTATAGCCCAGGTGTCATGGAGGAATTCATACCCGCTACTTATAGATAAGGAAAACTGGGCAATATCAGCCAGTCTTACAATTTACAAAAATAGAATTAAAACCCAAAAAAGATAAACTGAAAAAAAACCCCTGACAAAATGGAGGGCTAAAGATTTGAACAAATATTTCACAAAGATATACAAATAGTCAGTGCTCAACACCATCAATCATCAGGAAGATATGAATAAGTCTACAATTAACTACTATTATGCACTCAGTATGATGGCCAAAATTTAAAAGACTGACAATACCAAGTTTGACAAAGATGTAGAGCAATTGGAACACTCACTATTGCTGCTGGCAGTGGAAAATGGCACAACTACTTTGGAAATAAGAGTCTGGCAGTTTTCTATAATACTGAACATAGAACTTAATCAAAATTAAAAACTTTTGTGCATCAAAGGACACAATCAAGAGAGGGAAAAGACAAGCCTCAAAATGGGGGGAAATGTTTAGAAATTACATATCTAATAAGGAATTAATATCCAGAATATATAAAGAACTCCCCAAACAAAACAACAACAAAGCAATTTAAAAATGGGCAAAGTATTTGAATAAGCATGTCTCCAAAGAGGATACACAAACAGCCAATGAGCACATGAAAAGATGCTCAATATAACAAATTATTAGGGAAACGCAAATCAGAACCACAGTGAGATACTACTCCACACCCACTAGGATGACTATTACTAAAAAAAATTCCCAAACATAAAACAAGTATTGGTAAGGGTGTGGAGGCACATATAAAGTGGTACAGTTTCTGTGAAAAACAGTATGCTATTTCCTCAAGAAATTAAACAGAATTACCGTATGATCCAGCAATTCTACTTCTGAGTATATATTTAAGAGAAGTGAAAGCAGGAACTTCAACAGACTTTTGTGCACCTACGTTCATAGCGGTATTATTCACAATAGCCAAAATGTAGAAGCAACCTAAGTGTCCACTGACTAATGAATGGATAAACAAAATGTGATATGTACATACAATGGACTACTATTCCACCCTAAAAAATGAAATTTTGACACAAGATCTAACATGAATAAACCTTGAAAACAGTATGCTAACAGAAACAAGCCAGACACGAAAGGACAGATACTGTATGATTCCACTTATTTGACCTAGAACACTCAAATGTATAGTGACAGAAAGTAGAATGATAGTTCCCGGGGGCCGAGGGGAGAGGGAATGGAGAGTTATTGTTTAACGGGAACAGATCTTCAGTTGGGAATGATGGAACATCTCTGCAGACGGATAGTGGCGACGGCTACACAACGATGTAAGTGTACTTAATGCTGCTTAAATGTTCACTTTAGAACGGTTAAGAGGGCAGACTTCACATTATGTATATTTTGCCACAATAAAAAAATGATTTAAAAAACTATTCATAAACCTACCTAATGACTCAGAAATTTCACTTCTTCAGTGACCTAAAAGAAATGAAAACAAAGACTTGTACAAGAATGTCTTAGCAGCTTTATTGATAATAGCTCCAAACAGCAAATAACCCAAGATGTCCATTAATAAAAAGGCTAAATCAGCTGTGTATATGTGGTGTATATGTGTAAAGATATATCATTGAAGCCACTCATCTGGTTGTTGGCTACACAGTTTGTTTACTACTGTTGGCTACTACGAGGTTGTTTTACTTCAGCTCCTAGTCCTCCTTCAGCCCCACAGGGTGAGTTTTCCTACTCATCCCAAAATTTTGACCTAAAGGCAACGCTGAGCATTACTGAAACCTTTGAAGTTCATGGCTGCCTTTGTTAGGACTCCTCTGTCCTCCTCTCAAAAGGAAGACCCCATGGTTTTCTACGTTTAGTCTTTAAGACCTGCCATCTTGTGTCTGGTCCAATAGGTTTGGCTCCAACCATTGCCATAATTGACAGAGGAACTACCCCATCTTCTCAGCAGGAGCGCTTGGGGTAACCAGCATAGCTAGGTCCCAGTTGTCATCTCTCTAGTGGTCCTAGTTCTATTTTGTCTTTTCCATGTTTCAAGTTAGGATCCTTTGGCCGCCATCACTCAGGGTCTCTGTGAGCCCTGATTAGTGCCTGTCTTGAGGGTAACCCCTGAGAGGTACAGTCTTAAATGCCAGGCACTGTCACAGGTCTCCCTCTGCAGTGGCAGGCTGAGCACTCTATTCCATATAGTGTTGAGGGCATGGACCCTTAAGTCACACAATCTGTATTTGAATCCCAGCTCTACCACTTACTTAGGTCACATCACTGTGCTTCCGTTTCCTCATCTGTTGAAGGAAATAGTAATGCTACTTACTTCATAGGGCTGGCATGAGGATTAAATTAGTTAAAATGAAGTAAAGTTCTCAGTGCCCAGCTCATGCTGAACAGTGTATAATGTGTTATTTTTACTTACTTACCACTGCGTTTCCCATTTTCTTCGAAAGATTTTGTCCTCAAAAGAGAAGTGAGAGAAAAAATTAATGCATTCTCTATCAGTCAGGATGCAGAAACCACACCAGTAATTTGAACATGGAGCATGCCATATAAAGAATTGTTAATTAATAAATGAGAGTGAACTAATAAAAGTGGTAAATAGCACTTTAAAGAATACAAAATAACATATCCTGGGATCAGCCACTGCC